GGTATAGTTGTTGTTGCGTAAATAGTTAAATCTATTGAATGTATTTTTTCATAATTATTTTAAATAATCGAAATAATTCTGGATAGGCAGATAATTTAAGGATTTTATTAAGTAATAAATTTATTTGCGTAATAGCTGGATACAAATTTTAATGCAATGCAATGTCCGTTGGATGTTTTTGTTCCATAATGATGGCAAAAATTCAGGTCAGGTTAGTTAATTCCAGCACTTAAGTTGTTTTTGCAAGATTTACTTTACCATATAACTTGAAGTGACGGACAGTTAAGCTGTCAGAACCTTATTTGCCCGCCAAACTATCATGATGATTTATATCGCTAAGTTCTTTCAAGTTGTCCTATAACACGATATGAATTCAAGTTGCGTTCAAAAACATATTTAATTTTTCTCTTTCTTATTTCCCGATGATAAAACTTAAAAACTTTTCGTTTTTTGCAAATTTTTTAACAGAGCTCATGTTTTTATTCTTTGACATTATTTAAAGTTTTCCCGCGCGAATTGGAGAAACTGAAGAGACGTGTCAAAGTGACATTGCCAAGTTAGCTTTTGTGTGCGCAACGAGATACGAATGGTTGGCTCCGTGCGGGCCAGACATCGACTTGTTGCTGGCGGGCTTGCCCTTGACACGTGATCTGGGTTACTGGGATAGGGCCACCTGTTGCAGCGGGTGCGAGGGAGACACAAGACCGCGGAAGTGAGAGGTGTCTGGAAGATTCCGCGAACGCAATGTGTGGTTTCGGTGGCGAATTTTGTGAGCCGTTAAATTTTACTACTGTCTGGAAAACTCAGCGCAATGTATGACAGACTTATTTACGATTTCACTGTTTCAAAATGTGCTGTCTGTTTAGTTATAGATAACATGTATAAGATGATAAAAAAAATCATACGTAGGTTATAATTATTAATTAAACTAAATATAACTCTTGAAAAATAAAAAAAATGGAACCAAATTATTATTATTACACTATTGGCTGCTAAAATATACGAGGAAAATGGAGTTATTACAGATTTTATTCTTTTTAATTTAAACATATTTCCGACGATGACGGGTGGATTCACTGTAACAACTGCTTTAATAGCGGCCCCACCAACGCGAAAGGCCGGATCAAGCTTATTAATAATTTGAACCTTTAATAGTGTAAGGACTGAAAGCAAAAATATCAGACTCAGTCATCCGGTGACCATGAATTTTGTAAAGTATTCGAATCATAGGGGATTTAAATTTAATCTAAACGCTATAAAATCCCTAAATATAGTTTCATTTAATGATTTTTCAATCCACTATTGCGAGCGTCGTCTCCTTCGTAACAAGAAGATTGACTTGGTATAAAGTTTTATTTATAGATATGGTTTGTATTATATTGTATAAACGCAATTTTCGCTAATTATTTACCCACGCGATAAAATTTTCGCACTAAGCTCACATTGAATCTTATTGACATCAATTGTTTGTATGATTGATTTAATATTATTATTTATATGTTATATAAGCTGTCAAAAAATTTATGCCACTGCGGGAACCTGGCCATTGGTTGGTCGAACGTTTTTATAGACAAATTATTGAAAAAAAATGACATTTTTATACCTTAATTATATAATCAGACTTCTATTGTTTCGGTGTTAGAATAGGAGGAGTACGCTAAAAGACATTTGAACATTGAAGATTAATATGGCAGGTGACTTTAATCTATCCATCTAGCGGAACATAACATCTCTCCGTGGTGTTGCCTTTTACTGTGTTAGTGATTTTTCAATTTACGGCCTTGCTACTTTGGAAAAAAGTTTAGTGGAACAATCTAGACTGAATGAATAATTATACGAATGAATGAGTGAATAACGTGTATATTATCAGTGATTTTATAATAAAGATGAGGCATTTCCATACTGCGCGGCGTTTAAAAATTGCTTCGATTTACGTTGTATGACATTTATCAGTAAGTGAATTTGAAAGATGACATAGAACGTATTATACGGAAAGACATAGCGGTCTTTGTCATTGCAATGTAATTACATTTATTTGCGTACTTTGAACGCTTCATATTAAATGAAACTGGTTTACGGATTTTATCGCGTTTTTTATTTTGATTTGAACTCCCGACCATACTCCCGTGACCATAAACGCTGGAAAACTCGCGATAAAATCCGTAAACTAGTTTCATTAAATATGTATAATATTCGCGAAAATCAAGAAAACAATATTTTACCGCTTCAGTTACGTTGCGCTGGTGTCATATCTACCATATATATAATTTATATATATATATATATATATATATATATATATAATTTATCATTGGTCAATACTGATCGAAATAAAAACTGGTTGAATCTGTATCTTACCAAGTTATGATCTAATCAAAAGAGATCATATTATCTAAATTTTGCACTCGGTTAAAATAAGGTGGGGGAATAAAGAATGAGGCGTCTCCCGCAAGTTACGAAAAGTATACAGTCTCGCGAAATTGTAAGTTGATTATTTATTTACATTCCTCCATCCTTCGAGCCTTTATTAGATCACGCGGAATGGATTATGACGCCTCGTAAAAAGTTCGCCCCGCTTTGTGCCGTTTTTTTTGCGTCGCGGCCCAGACGGCTCGTTTACCGGATAGGCATTAGAAATCCGATAATAAGTTTTCACAAAATGGAGACATCAAACAAAAGTTGCGTTCAACCGATTCAAGCTGGCAGTATTCAAGTGTTTCGAGTGCAAGTTATCGACACACGGCGGAGAGAGGTTGATTTTGCCATCACATGACTTTGGACGGACGTCGTCTTAATGTTTCGATACTTTCACAACATAGGTACGAGCAGCCCGCTTCGCTTCTATCTTACAACGTAACGAAATTTAAATTAACTCACTGTTACGCTTTGGGCTAAACGCGTTATACAATCGCGGGTTGTGGTATTGGGTTCGTGTTGAGAGGAGAGCAGATCCCACCGTCTTGCTCTCATGTTATATGTCATATTAGAGAAAATATCATAGCATCAAAATATAATACTAAGTGAGCCTTACATTGTTTTGTTCATGCTTTTCTATTTACTCTTACTTGTTTCTTAGGATTCCGTACCCAAACGGTAAAACGGAATCCTATTACTAAGACTCCGCTGTCTGTCCGTCTGTCACCAGGGTGTATCTCATGAACCGCTATATTTAGACAGTTGAAAGTTTCACAGATGATGTATTTCAGTAAAAAACGGATTAAAAAAATATTTAAGCGGAGCTCCCATACAACAGACATGATTTTTTTTGCCGTTTTTATAGATAACGGTACGGAACCCTTCGTGCGCGAGTCCGACTCGCACTTGGCCGGTTTATAGATAATGGTACGTAGCCATTCAGCGCGGCTCCAAGTTAACGCACATTTCATTAAACACGTTCATATTTGAGATATTTATGTAAGGATAGGATATTGGCAGAATAAGGTCGGTTATTTTCGCGGAATATTAAACGTTTCCCGTGATTGATACCGCCCGGGTATAACTAACGATATGACAGCAGTTTAACGATTTTCTGGTGAACGGCTAAGTGCTTAAAGAAGTTTTGCAATGCTTCAGGGTCAACGGAACCTTACGGGGTAGACGTTTCGCTTATTCGGAACACAAAAAATGTGGCTATTTTAATTTTGAGCTTTCATTATAGGAATGAATACCTCATGAGTCGTTTTTATAGTCGTATTAGAATATACAATTATTAATACTTGCGTAAAATTCAAAGTTCGTTGAGGTAACGAGGAGTGAGGAGTTTGATGAAGACTGGATTGATAGTCTCGATGAAATATACTGTGGTTGAGAATTTAAAACTCACCGAAAAAAGTTTCCTCCTGGTATTTCCTAAAAAAAGAAAGAAACGCATCTCTGCGGAGTCTCTGTTTCCTCAAAAATCATGCCTGTGGTATGGAAGCCCCACTTAAATATTTTTTATTCTACTTTTAGTATTTGTTGTTATAGGGTTAGGAGGCCACATCATCTGTGAAAATTTCTAACGAAACTTTCTGACTATCACAGTTCATGAGATACAGCCTGGGGGAAGACGGACAGACAGAAATACAGGCAGACAGACAGCGGACTCTTAGTAATAAGGTCCCGTTTCACCCTTTGGGACGGAACCCTAAACAATTAGAGATTTTCGTTACTTTGGCAATCAGTCGTTAAGCTTATTGATGCGGGTCCTATTTCAACGGCGGTAAAAGACTTTACATCCAGTTTTCTACAAACTTTAAACAGGGCTCGGGTAGAAACCGAAGCCACGGCCCACAATCTAAGCTTTCGCGCTTTTAATACCCCTTTCGAATCACGTAATACTTTACGGGATTTGGCAATTGTATAAATTAATATCGAACGCTATGGGCGTAAAGTATCAAGCGGGGCGAGTACTGTTCGGACGCAATTTATTCATAAGTCCGTGTAGGATTTTGAGTCGTAGCTTTCGCAATTAGAACGGTCCAGTATTCAGCATCTAGCCAACGAATTTCAAGTGAGCCGTTTCGCAAGGGACACGCGGCGAAAACGATTTGCGAAATCGTTCAGCGATTTTTTGCGCTCCCGTTCGAGGTATTCTCAGAACATAGTCGTTGTATGATATATTGCCTAAAACATCTCTCCTATCAGCTATCTGTTTCGCGATATGTTTCGTCAATTTTTTCCCGAAACACGAACCGTCATGGTTTAATATCAAAAGTGCTTAAGTAAAGTATGAATATGATTTTCGGGATTTCCTTTCTAGAAAGGTGATGAACACGCTTCAAACGTGAACTTTACTAGTCACCTGCTAACGTTGAGATATAGTAATTATCCTAAAAGTGGGCCTATCCTAAAGGTCCCAGCATCAGCTCTAACATCCTCTTCGAGCCATTTTCATTTCCTTAAATTCTTTTTGTAGCATATCACGTCTTGGAACATTAAACTTTTTACCAAGTTTTAACGAACGCCTTCATTAATTACAATACACAGCCCTCGCGCTCTTCACTTACTACCACCGATACATGATGAGTCTCACTGACCCTAGGTCTTGTTTGCAGGGCGTAGCAGTGTCACCGTGTGCCTGGGGCAAGCATGTAGTGTTCGCCGGCTCGGAGACTATAACAATGGCCGAAATGCTGGGAGCGGAGACCATCGACTGCTTCGAATACGACATCAAGGTGCCGGAGATCGTGACCACGGACGAGATGGCCGAGTCCGGGTACCAGGAGGGCTCCGAGACGAGCTTCGGGGACGCGAAGGAGGGGTTCGGCGGGGAGGGGTTCGGCGGGGAGGGGGACTCGGACAGCGGCGTGGACGGCGTCAGCAGCGGCTGCAGCACGGTCGACGACTGCCCCGTGGTGTCGATAAACGACGTGGTGGCGTACTACGACGTGAGGCCGCGGCGGCGCCACGTGCCCCAGCTCAACTTCTACCACGTGGACATCGAGAGGATGGCGATGGACGCTGTTGTTCAGGTGGGCGAATTTTCGAAAATGCGAAATTTTATTTACTTACTAGCTGACTCGGCAAACGTTCTTTTGCAATGTACATTATTTTTAGGGATTTTGTTAATCTGAGCTCATTGTAAAAGAATTTTCGGAACTCACGCATAAAATGTTTGACAGGTAGGAACAGTTTGTATGGGAAAAATAAATTGCTATTTCCATTATCCATGTAAATTTTACGTAATTTCTCATCGTTTAAACCTTCCCTGGACTGGCGGAAATATTTTAAAATCAAAATTAACCAAATCGTGCCTGCCGTTCTCGAGTTTTAGCGAGACTAACGAACAGCAATTCATTTATATATATATATATATAAATGAATTGCTGTTCGTTATGTATATATATATATGTATATATATATATTTGCACTCTTTACTGTGCTAACTGGTACAAACGGCGGGCTTAATGCCATAAGGCATTTACCAGCCAACCGGAAAGTTAGTGAGAGAGTAGTGTATAACAATTATAAAACATGCAAAAATATATATGATATACCTACATCTATATTTAAATGAATGCTAATCCAATAGATAAATAAAACATATATACGTACCTACATAAAATTGTAATGTATGTCAAACGTTATCCATACTACTGATCATGACAACAGCTTCTCCGACCTCTTGAAATAATTCCGGAGCGAACGGCCTGTCTACGGAGACAGGCTCGTCATTTGTTAGATTGGGCATTTGGAACGTGTACTGGCAAACAGTTTTTTTATGTAAGGTGGCACACGGTTGGCGGTTCACCTGATGTTAAGTGATACCACCGCCATATGCAACACCCGTACAGTTGGTGATGCGTTGCCATCTACAGTAATACAGTAAGCGACGGCTACCTCATTCACCAGACGAAACGCCGAAGTATGACACTTCCATTTTAGAACTCCGTCATTTATGAATCGATTGTTAAATTATTTTGGCATTGGGTTCGGTTTAGTTCCCATGTGGTCCCATATAAATTTCATTGGACCTTGGACTCCGGATATACATCATCCCTGATACACCAGGGAACTCCCCAAAATGCAATAGAAAATGTACGGTGTGTGAGATATTTGATGTCGGTCTTGGTTTTCGTTACTAAAAATGTTATGTATAAAGTATACCAGAGCTAAGATTAATTAAAATTTGATATATAAACAACGTACTACTAATAACACGATATAAAAATAAAAACTCGTTTTAATATGTAAATAGCGGAGATTCGTTTCATACAGACGTATCCTCTTTCTTATTACTTTTATAAGCTTAGCGAAAAATGTTAAATCAAATTATTTTGCCTTTAAATTTCGTTTTCAAATACGAACCTTCGTTCGCCTAAAGCTTCGAATACTTTACAAAATCCGAAATTACGGGATAGACCGAGTATTTAGTCCGATGTCATATATCCACCCTACCGTTAACTTTTGTTTAGTTTTGCTCCTGTCCCGTTATATACCTACATACATCATGTTTTAGTGTTTTGCTTTGATTTAAAGGAAGCGCGATAGAGTTTGGCTAAATGGTCGTATCCAACGATGTGCAGTATCTCAATTGTTCTGGTGCTAGCAGAGCGTTCTAAACAAATAAAATCTCCACCAACTTTCGAGTCAGCGGCCAGATCGCATGAGGTGAACCGCTCGCAACGATCGTCAATACACTCGCCGCATACAGTTACCGCCACAAGGGGCATCTGGGCAACGGGTAGCATTAGATAACGTCTTGAAACAAAGCGACTCAGGCATCAGCGACGCTCAAAGAGAAAGGCGCGCCGCGTTTTGCAACCTACCCTGCGCTTGCGTCACTTTTGCTCTAATAACTTTCGCATACGGATCCGAACCGCGCAGGGCTGTATCTCGCATCGATTGTGCTGTTACGCCGTAGCGGAGCCAGGATTTGGGTCTAGTATACACTAGTTGTGGAACCACCAATGTTATTTATGGAGATGTTGGCTAAATAGTGCCAAACCCGATATTAAGTGATCATCGCTGTGGGAATCAACAAAACTTAAGGCTGCAGGTGCTCATCAGGCGAAACGCAAAGCTATAATACTTCACGCTGGTTTTCTCTGAGCCTTTTAAGTCCTACGAGTACCATCCACGAGTATATCCAGCTAAGTGATAGAGCTGGATATAGTTAATCATGTGATAGCAGTTGCAGTACTAGTAGGCTAAATTTGATCTGATTGTTTTTCAGTTCAAAATTCTCATTATAAAATGTTCAATGCAACACTACGATAGGTTAGACATAGATCGCTCGTTTTTTGGCCAGTTACGAGTAAGTCGTATTTAATATTGCACAAGATTATTATTTAATATTAAACTATTGACCCGCCCCGGCTTCGCACGGGTGCAATGTTTCATGCATATAAACTTTCCTCTTGAATCATTCTATCTAGTAAATAAAACCGCATCAAGATTCGTTGCGTAGTTTTAAAGATTTAAGCATACATAGAGACAGACAGACTGCGAAAGACTTAGTTTTATACTATGTAGTGACAAGTCTATCATTTAGCATATAACCCATTAGAAACGAAAAGTTAATGCGTTACAACAATAACTTTTTGTCCAAAGCTATCGTAATATTTGCATAATTATGAGAAATCTTTATGCCAAGCAATGCACATTAACAACAATGTTTATTAACACTCAATTATAATACGTTGAATATTTAACTGCATTATTTGAATAAACGATTTCATAATTAAGTTTAAGAAAGTTAAGTTTGAAATTGTAGAAACGAATCATTAATATATTGAGCGGTCGGTAAAACTCGCTTTGAATGATGTTGACAGATTTAACCAATGATATTATACACAATACATAGGTATAACATTAGCGCATCGAAATTGAGGCACTAAATTTACACCAATTGGTCTAACACTAAAGATTGTTACCTCTTTCCGTATCATACGTTCTATATCATCTGTCACATTCACTTATATATGTATGTCATATAACGTAAAGCGGAACAATTTTAAATGCCACGCAGTATGGACATGCGTCATGTATATTATTAAACATCATCGAGTTTAACATACATTTATTAATATATTTGTTCAAAGAGGCATTCGTCGAATTCATTGTTGTATCTTATAGTTTTGCTAAGACATTTTGATTCGTTAAACTTTATGAATATTTCATGAGTTTGATGTAGACAAATATGTTGAAAAAAGCTAAAGTTTTTTTTTTAAATATAGGCAATGTAATCATTTAGTTTGGAATTAAACTCAATGGCCGTGAGGGCTTTAAGGGCTTTCCTGCCTTAATTTTACGTCCCACTTCGTTAAGAGTTAGTAACCCAGATGACGCAGGGTAGAATACTGGTTGCGTCGAAAACTTTCGTACAATGTATCTATTAACAACTTTATCATTCAGCGTTTTATCATTTGATTATCAAAACTTTAATCATCTACTTAAAAAATTTCATCTGCTTCGTCATCTATTTTAAGGTTCGTACACACTTGCCTCTGATTTCTGGACATCTATGTAGCAGTTATTTATTACCATTAGTTGAACTGCTTTCTCGTTCGTCACTCACCTTTAAAAATTAAAGTACCATAAGGCCTGTGGACATTTGTACGTGACACGATCAAAGTCAAAGTCAAAAAGTCTTCATTCAATATAGGCTTACTTTAAGCTCTTACTGACGTCAAAAAACTATCACTGGAACTATTGGAACTTAGGCAAACTAGACCTGTCCAGAGAAGAACCTGAAAGAAGAAGAGAAAGAAGTTTTTAAATTACATGAGTATAAAATGAGCAGCAGCCAGGGGACTTGAGAGTGCAGATCAGGAGTCATTTCCACACATCCTCGTCCTCAATGTATTCTTCGACTTTATAATAGGTTTTTTAATTACGGTAGCTTTTACTTCGTCTCATTCTCGGCGTTGATAGACGGCCGTCTCGCCGTATCGAATTTAATTACCCCCTAACCTAAGCCAATAACAGAGCGGCGATATCAAAAACGTCGCTAATAAATTGGATTGCCTGACTCCTGTGGGAGTCTGCGACAGATTGCAGTGGCCAGACGCTATCGAGTTACAACCGCCGAGCCGCCTTGGGGATCGTTGGCTGTACACGATAGGCCTAATTGAATCGCGAGAACAAGTATATAGAAATGGCTAAGCTTTTGCAGGTGCTGATTGTCGAGACATGCATACACAAACATTCGCGATTCTGATTCTCAACCAATGATTGGTTGAGTTGGCGCGAATAGTACTTTTTTAAATATTGCCGTTACTGTATAATATGATTATCCTGTGTTGTAAGGACGTTTTACATAAGTAAATTTCGCGTGGACAATCAACAATATCTGGATAAATTACTCTGTAGATCACACAAATCGTTGACCCCAGTGGAAATCGAATGTACGACCGGCGTCGAAGCCAATACCTTGGCAACTGCGCCACGGAGTCATCAAATTGATACTTGAAGTTTGTTATAAATGTATGTTTATTAAGTCATTGTAACAAATAGCGAATTATTATATACATTGAGTTATGTGGGATAATTTTCTGAGTTTTAGATTACTGTGTGACCACAGAGGTTTCATCCAAACCTAATAAGAGCTCCAACTATCTTTGTCCTCTTTGTTACGTTTATACGTTTATTTAATTTCATTGAATGTAAAATGGCTGAAGTTTGTTTAAGTTTTGATATAGACAATTGTTGTTTTCTCCTTTCTGCTCGTTCTTGTTTGCGTCGCACATTATCTATATTACGTAAAACATAAGACATGGCATCCTATATTGCACATTTTTCTATGGATTCCCTTATGGCTGGAGCGGCGCGAGCCTAGGAAACTTTCGCTGTTATAACATGTTTATGGATGTAATTAAATTGATTACACGAATAGTTAGTGCTGTTACAAACAGGTAATGGTTGGTTTTCGGCTTGGTGTACACAACACTGCATTTGATTAGACTTTGATATTTATCTTTCTCTTTCATTCCTATTGATTGTTATAATTAATATAGACGCGAATATTTCATAGTGAAATCTAGAAGATATCAAGTTTTATGACTTAGTAATATATTAAGATGTCACCATTCTTTATTGGGTTTAATTTTCGAAAAGTCAGTCATAAACTTATCGATTACCAACCAATGAGTTTTATGGCTGCGAGAAATAAGAAAAGCTTAAAAACTTTGTTGAACATAGTAACTAAGTCAATTACATTGTAGACAGAACGTTTGTCAGTTTCATTGTGACTAGTTTGTTAGTTTTAGGTAATGACATTTAGTACAGTTAAGGCAACAATGTATGGTATACTAAGGGTTGTTGCATGTATAACCACAACGTATATGTATTTTTTTCAAAACTAGTAAAGTCGAGTTTGTGTGATCAAGTCCTGTTTTATTTTATCTGTTGAAATTCTGTCGTACGAATGGCGTATACTGTTTTGAAGAGATCCTCTGACGAGAGAAATTTTCGTGTCATCCACGAATAGTTGGCCCGTGGTAAATCACGTGAATTATTTCCTAGTGCAGAAAACGTATATTGAAATAAAACGCAACCAACAGATGGCTCTACACGAAATACGTTGTTAAGTATTTTAAATGGTATTCAGAAATATAACGCCTCTCAATATAACACATATGTATAATAAAAAAAAACAATAGCAACTTGTAACAGCCGCAGCAGATGCGTTGCCATCTTTTCCTAAAGTGGGCCCCGGCTACCTCACTCACCAGACGAAACGCAGAAGTGTAACACTTCTACTACACGCCGGTCTTCTGTGAGGTCGTTGTACTTCCCCAGACGGACCCGCCCAGTCGTGCAACTGTTGCGTGTCCATATCACTTTATTTACCTTATATTTAAAAAAAAAATCCGGGACAACCCGCGGCTGAAAATCCGTTGTGTAAGAGGAAAACGCGAAATATCACAAAGAAAGGTGCGTTACACAAAGCCGTTTAGACATTCCGAACGCTATAACGTTACTCAACGGACGCGCTAATCGAGCGGTCAAATAGTGGAGATTCGCAGTTATTGGCAACACGCTATTTTAACGTTTATACGTTGACCTTTATGGGGTTATGTTGGACTCTAATAAAGTTTGCCAAAGCACTGCCCTACACAATGCTGTCTAGATACAATTATGTTGACCCAAAAAAAAAAATCAAAAATGAGAGTACGATAACAGTATATGATACATCGAAATTTCGAACTTGTGATAGCTTGTCCCAATTACAGAATCGCCTGTTAATAGTGACAGCTCATTGTCCGGGCGCTCGCTTCTAATTCAATATACTCGAGTGACCTGAGTTCGATGCCGGGTGCCGGCACCAATGCAAGTATTATATCTAAGTGCTGAATTACCACGTATTCTGTGCTGAACGAAAACATCGTGAGGTACTTTGTAAATTGCATTTGCAGGTTACATTTACAAAGTAATAGCAAAAATATATTTCGAAGATATGTGAAGTTCCCCATTTCGCAGTGTGGTCGCGTGTTAGACTACCCAATACCCTCTGTACAGAGCTCTTTGCCCAGCTGTGGGATATTTATAGGCTCACTATTTTTACTTTATGGTCAGTTAATATTAAAGTATCAACCATACAGTCAACGTACATAGGCGTATTGCTGGTTTGGATGTAAAAAAAAAACTTAGAATAGAATAGAATAGAAATATCTTTATTGATCGTACACAAACACCGTTTACAAAAATAAAAAAGAGAACAAAATAACTAATTTACATATAAATACAATTAATAATTTTCATAATATTTAATAATGATAATAAGTACAAAGTTGGTATATGCGACGGCCAAAAGGTAGTCAGCTCAGCATAACGCTACGGTTTTTAGGTAGCGCTGAGTTTCAACTGACGCCTACGAAAGTGAGTCACGGACAATCTGGATGCCTAGTAGAAATAAAA